CATCCCTTGGGGGTCATTTCAGCATCATCCCTTGGGGCTTCCTCCTGTATCAGTCAAAATCCGCCCTAAGGTGCTGCTTATTTGTCCCTCGGGCATCACTGTTGGTCTTTGCCGTCTCTGTAAACAGGAGAGGCCTGAGGCAAACAGCAGAACCGGGTGCTTTCCACCCCGTTATCCTTCTCACCTCCACCTGCTGGGTGCAAGGCTGTTGGCCACCTCCATCTGAGCCAAAAAGAGGCCATTTTCTAGATGTTTTGGGGCTCCTTTCCCTTCCCATTTTGCTCTTATGGTGCAGAGACAAATGGCATCAGTGAAGTGACTTCTTCTTGCCCAAGTGGGAAGAGCAAGCCATGAGCTGGTTGCCTCTTCCCAACCGTGGTGAAGACCTCGCAAGAGCTCCCTCCATGATCCACGAGCACCCACACGAGCCTCACCACAGCAGTTGTACCCCAAGGAGATGAGCTGGAGCTGGAGCTGGCTCTTCTCCTTCCCTGCTCCCCACAAAAATCCCCCAAAACTCTTTGGCAAAGCCAAGGAAATGAAGGGGAACCCAGTGGTCTTCCTGTTGTCTCTAAAGCCTCAGATCCTCCTCATTTTGGGGACACTGAGGCACAGAGGTTATCCCCAGCCACCTCGCCACTGCCTTTGCACGGGGCCCCGCTCACCTCCCTGTTCCTGCAAGGTGCAAACCAGGGCGAACCCTGATTTCAGGGATTTTTGGCATTATGAGGACATTGGGAGCAGCCCTGCAGGCTCTCAGCTCTCTTCCCAGAATGAATCCTGAGCCAAATGCTGAGAAAGCGCTGAATAACTGCAACAAATTGGATTACTTTTTGGTTCTTGTCATTTCTCAGCACGTCTGATCTGCTGCTGGAGCATCAGCAGCGATGCTTCGGAGGTGAGCGACTTCCAGCTTTCTGCTTTCAGCCCAGCCAGGGATGGGGCTCTGCAGGGTCCTCAAGGCGATAGAAATTCCTGCAGGGCTTTTAAAAGCCATTTGGAAAGCGCCCAGCCTTGCTCCAAGGGGAGCCAGCCAAAAAAACACCCCCAAAACCACCCCAGAACTTCAGAACACCAGGCCAACAACCGCATCGCCCATCTTCTTCTCTCCACGTTTCCCTCCCATCCTGGCTTTCCTTGTCTTTTCCATTCCCTTCCTCACTCCCCATCTGCTCTTTCCAACAGAGGAATATTCCCACCGATCCGTATTTCAGGATGGCTTCAGTTATTTTCTTGCGGCTTTAGGTCATGCCCTGTCCTTATCTCCATTCCCTACATGTGCACATCCCCACCCTTCTTGGCATCACCTTCGTCTTGGCCAAATCCCACTGGATTGACCTGAAGCCAAGAAATATTCCCTGGGGTAAAACCACAAGCAAGAGCACAACCTGATTACTCCCTCAGACTCTGTTTTTGCTGCAGAAATTCCCATTTCCAGGGCAGGATTGGGTCTTCTTTTCAGCAGG